GTGCAGAAAGTGGCAACACAAAGGGATTTGGGGATCCCTTGTATTAATCACAAAAAGCAAGCATCCAAGTTTAGGTCAACTCAAGGACAAAGGAGCGAATTTATGTGTGGAGCCAGAGGAAGTGAGTGAGGCCCTTCATGGCTTTGCATTACTATTCATCAAGGAGAAAGGCATGCTGATGGTTAGTTTAGAGAAGGGTTTGTTGATACTCTCTAAAACATGTCACTATTAAGAAGGAGGAGTCTTGAAAACCATTAAGATAGATAAGTCCCCAGGGCCTGATGGGTTCTATCCCAGGATAATGAAGGAGCCAAGGGAGGAGATTGCTGGGGCCCTGACAGGGATCTTTATATTCTCTTCAGCCACAGACAAGGTCCCAGAAGACTGGAGAATAGCCAATGTTGTTCTTTTGTTTAAGAAGAGCAGTAAATTATAGGCTGGTGAGCCCTACATCAGTAGTAGGAAAATTATTGGAGGAGATTTTTAGGGACAGGATTTGCTTACATTTGGAAAAGAATGTACATATTAGGGACAGTCAGCATGGCTTTATGCAGGGGAGGTCTTGTCTCACAAACTGATTTGAGTTTTTTGAGGAAGTGACGAAGATGATTGATGACGGTAAGGCAATGGATGTTGTCGACATGGACTTTACTAAAGCATTTGACAAGGTCATGCATGATAGGTTGTTCCAGAAGATCAAATGGCATGGAATCCATGGTCAGTTGGCAAGTTGGATACAAAATTGGCTTGACCGTAGAAGACAGAGGGTAGTTGTGAAGGGGATATTTTTCTGACTGGAGGTCTGTGACCAGTGGTGGTCCACAAGGATCAGTGCCTAGACCTATAAATGATTCAGATAAAAATATCAGTGGTCTGATTAGTAAGTTTGCAGATGGTATGAAGATTGGGGGAGTTGTGGATAGTGAGGAAGGATCGATAACAAAGGTTGCAGCAGGATATAGATCAACTGGAAAGTTGGACAGAGAAATTGCAGATGGAGTTTAATCCAGACAAATGTGAGATGATGCATTTGGTAGGTCAAATGTAAGAGGAAAGTATACTACAAATGGCCAGATTCTTAAGAGCATTGATTTAGAGGCATCTGGGAGTCCAAGTCCATAGCTCTCTGAAAGTGACAGTACAAATGGTTAAGGTGATAAAGAAGGCATACGGCATGGTTACTTTCATCGGTCAGGGCAGTGAATATAAAAATTGGTCAGGTCACATTTGGAGTCTTGTGTGTAGTTCTGGTTTCCACTCTATAGGAAGGATGTGGAGGCTTTGGAGAGGGTGCAGAAGAGGGTTACCAGGATCTTGCCTGGATTGGAGTGTGTTGGCTATAAGTAGAGATTGAAAAACCTTGGATTGTTTTTGTTAGAGCATCAGAGGCTGAAGGGTGACTTCATAGAAGTGTATAAAATTATGAGAGGCACAAATAGGGTGGAAATGTCAAACACTAGGAGGCATAGGTTTAAAGTGAGAGGGGGAAAGTTTGAAGAAGATGCCTGACGTAAGTTTTTTTTTATTACAGAGGGTAGTCAGTGCCTGGAACCCACTGCCAGGGAAGGTGGTAGAAGCAGATAACCAAGTTTAAGAGGAATTTAGACAGACACATGACCAGGCAAGGACTAAAGGGATATGGACCATGTGCAGGCAGATGGGATTAATTTAGAATGGCATCATGGTCAGCACAGATATGATGGGGTGAAGGGCCTGTTCCAGTGCTGTAATATTCGATGTTGTGAACTCCAGCAGGTCACAGGGAAGGCAAATGGAATGGACTACAAAAATAGGGAAATCTGGATGAGGAGTGACCTTATAGAAGTTTATAAAAGCATGAAGGGCATAGATAAACTGAATATCGAGGTCTTTTCCCAAAGGTTGGGGAGTTCATAACAAGGGGGCATATTTTTAAGGTGAGAGAAGAAAGATTTAAAAAAGACGGGCACAACATTTTTACACAGAGAGTGGTTTGTGTGTCAAATAGACTGCCAAAGGAAGTGGTGGATGCAGGTATAGTTATAATGTCTAAAGGACATTTGGATAAGGACATGAATAGGAAAGGTTTGGAGGGATATGCATGGCAGGTGGGACTAGTTTAGTTTGGTAACATGGTCAGCATGGACTAGTTGGATCGAAGGGTCTTTTGCCATGACGTATTACTATGTGCAGGTTGAGTGGATTGGCCATGGAAAGTGCAGGGTTACAGAGATAGGACAGGCAGGGTTGGGTCGGGGTGGGATGCTCTTCAGAGGACTGGTGTGGACTCAGGCTGAATGGCCCGCTTCCACACTGTAAGGATTCTATGATAATCTATGAATGGATTATTAATACATTACAGTGCTGCTTGTTGAGGCAAGACGATCCTGATTAATGTACAAGTCGACTGTCTCCAAAATGAAACACCTTTCTTCTCTCAGGCTTTTTTTTAAAAACAGTAGCCTTGAGGCGTCAGAGCTGTCCATTAGGCCATGCTCATTAACAAAACAAAAACACAAGGATTTGCAGTCCCAGGTCCAAATGCAAAGAGTTTCTCATGATCCCATTGGGTTTGGGACCCACCGTCAGGGCAACTGTCATGGTGTGAGCAGTTAAATTCTCTCTCCCTCTCTCTCTCCAGGATGAGGTCACTGGTGTGTTTGGAAGCTGGATGACCGAGAGAGTGCATCCCTTCCCACATGTGGAGCAGGTGAACGGCCTCTCCCCAGTACACATGGGGATAACCTTGCAGCTCAATCTTTTTTATTATTCATTAACGGGACAAGGGCATCGCTGACTAGGCAGCATTTATTGCCTATCCCTAATTGCCCAAAGGAGAGCTCAGAGTCAACTACATTGCTGTGGGTCTAGAGTCACATATAGGCCAGACCAGGTAAGGATGGCAGTTTCCTTCCCTAAAGGACATTCGTGTACCGACCAACCTCATCCCGCCCCCTTGACCTGTCCATCCTCCCTGGACTGACCTATCCCCTTCCTAACTCCCTACCTACACTCACCTTTACTGGCTCCATCCCCGCCTCTTCGACCTGTTTGTTTCTTCTCCACCTATCCTCTCCTCTATCCCTCTTCTATCCACCTCCCACTCTCTCCCTATTTATTTTGGAACCCCCTTCCCCTACCCCTTTTGATGAAGGGTCTAGGCCTGAAACGTCAGCCTCTCTGCTCCTATGATGCTGCTTGGCCTGCTGTGTTCATCCAGCCCTGCACCTTGTTGTCTCGGATTTTCCAGCATCTGCAGTTCCTACTATCTCCGACATTCGTGAACCAGATGGGTTTTTCCCCAACAATTGACAATGTCTTCACGGTCATCACTAGATTTTAATTCCAGATATTTATCGAATTCAAATTCCACCATCTCCCACGGCAGGATTCGAACCTGGGTCTCCAGAACATTATATGGGTCTCTGGAATAACAGTCCAGCGATAATACCATTAGGCCATTGCCTCCCCATTGGGGAATTGAATCCCTTCCCACACTGCCTTGCGCCTCTGTCCTGACAGGCCAAATGATCGGTTGGAGGCTTGTTCAAGGTGATGTGGGAAAGTGAGGGAGTGGGATTTGTTAAGAGTCAGTCCAGCCTCAATGGGGCTGAATGGCCTCCATTTGGTCTGTGCTGTAAGATTCTAGTTTAACGATTCATCATAAAACTGCACAATAGACTCATTATTGGTGGAGACCATTTGGTCCATTGTGTCTGTACCATCTCTGAAAATTTGAGCAACCTGTCCTTCTCCCTCACCCTGAGTGAATACTCATTCGTTCTTGAGGAAAAAGTCCAAATCACTTCTGTAAGTTACCGTTGGAGCTGCTTCCACCAGGAATTCAGGCAACATCCTTGAGATCATCAGAAACCTCACTGAGTAAAATAATCTCTCCTCGTCTTCGCCCTGGATTCTTTTCCTGTTGGTTATTTTGGAACTGTGCACTGTGGTCACCAACCATCCCACAGTGGCAAGCATTTCCAACCCAATGTCGATGAAAATTTCCAATAAAGTTCAACCTTCTCCGGTCTAAGAAACTTCTCCAGTCTCTGTGTGGTATGTGTTCAGAAGCTCATTTTGGGACTAAATAGGTGCACAAAAATTGTGGACCCACTCCCTAGGAGCAGGACAGACCTGGGAGTTAGGGATTGGTCTTCCCAATTTTTAACCAGAGGTAAGGCTGGTAGTTTCCTTCCCTAAAGGACGTTAGTGAACCAGATGGGTTTTTCCCCCCAACAATTGACAATTGATTTGTTGCCATGCCAGATTGAATTAATTCCAGATTTCACTTCTTTTTATTGAATTCAAATTCCACCAACTGCTGTGGCAGGTTTTGAACCCAGGTCCCGGGAACATTCCCGGGTCTCTGGGTTAACAGCCCAGCGATAATACCACTAGGCCATCGCTGGGTCACTGATAGGTGAGAGGCAGATAGAGAGAGAATGTTAATGATGTCAGTGGCACAGAGGACCCAGATTCAATTCCATCCTCGGGCGACTGTCTGCGTGCAGTTTGCACGTTCTCCCCCCACTATCTGCGTGGGGTTTTCTCCGGGTGCTCTGGTTTCCTACCACAGTCTTAGGATGTGCAGGTTAGGGGAAATGCAGGGTAACAGGGATAGAGTAGTGGGGGTGGGTACGGGTGGGATGCTCTTCGCAGGGCTGGTACAGACCCGATGGGCCAACTGGCCTCTTTCCACACCGGAGGGATTCTACGACATGGGGAGATTGGACGGTCATTGGAGTTGTGGGAATGGGGTCGAGGGACTGGGGGCCTGATGGACAGGAGACGGGAGACAAACTTGAGAAAGAGGAGGTCGAGAGGAATGAGTGGCCTGGTGAATGGGAAGCAACAGGCCGTGATCAGATCATCTCAACCCTATTTATAATGAATTGCATCAACTCCCCACGCTTACTGTTGGAGGTGTAGTTGCAGGGGAGAGAACAGACCTTCTAAAAAAGTTCTTTCAGGAGAAGTTTTTGCTCTTTCTATCAGATTAAAACGATCTCCACACTATGTTTTAACACAAAGCTGATTTATTTGACTTTAATCCAGATGTTTAAAACTTCCTTTCTTTTTTAACCTCCTCAATGTGATTAATAGCAAAACCCGATCGCTTTAATTACATACAAACTCACTGGTGTTGGCAGATGGGATGACTCGAATGAATCCCTTCCCCCAGTGTGAACTCTCCACTGTCTGGACAAATGAGCTAAGTCTTTTTCTCACACGGAGCGGGTGTATGGTCTCTCCCCAGCGTGAAGCCGCTGGTGTACTGAGAGTTGAGATGATCACCCGAACCCAGCCCCACGATGAGAGCTCCTGAAAGGTCTCTCATCATGTGAATGTGCTGATGGGACATCAGCTCCACGGAATTGCGGTAGCTCTTCCCACAGTCCGGGCACTTGAAAGGTCTCTCCTCGATGTGAACGCGTTGGTGATAGAACAGCCCCCAGCAACTTGTGTAGTGATTCCCGCAGTCTGAGCATTTGAAAGGCCTCTCCTCAGAGTGAACATGTTGGTGGGACTTCAGCTCCACAGGATTCCTGAAGCACTTCCCGCAGTCTGGGCACTTGAAAGATCTTTCTCCGGTGTGGACACGTTGATGACAGGTCAGGCCCCAGGAGCTGGTGTAGCACTTGCCGCAGTCTTGGCATTTGAAAGATCTCTCCGCGGTGTGAACCTGCTGGTGTCTCAGCAGGTTGGACGACCGAGTGAAGCCCCTCCCGCACTCGGAGCAGGAGAATGGTCTCTCCCCCGTATGAACCTGCTGGTGCTCCATGAGGTCAGACGACCGCCTGAAGCCGATCCCACAGTGGGAGCAACTGAAGGGCTTCTCCTCAGAGTGAACACGCTGGTGGGCCATCAGGTCCCTGGCCGTTTTGTAGCACTTGCCACAGCGTGTGCACTTGAAAGGTCTCTCCTCAGAGTGAGAACGCTGATGAGACATCAGGTCCCCGGATGTTTTATAGCATTTTCCACAGTTGGGGCATTTGAAAGGCCTCATGTTCGTGTGGGCGTTCTGATGGGACACCAGGTCCCGGGAGGTTTTGTAGCACTTGCCACAGTCTGGGCACTTGAAAGGTCTCTCGTTCGTGTGAGCTAGTTGGTGGGACATCAGGTCCCCGGAGGTTTTGTAGCATTTTCCGCAGTCTGGGCATTTAAAGGGCCTGTCCGCGGTGTGAACGACCTGGTGTTGCAGCAGGTTAGACGACTGAGTGAAGCCCTTCCCGCACACCGAGCAGGTGAATGGCCTGTTGCCAGTGTGACTGCGCCGATGAGCTTCCAGCTCAGACGGGGAACTGAACTCCTCCCCACAATCCCCACATTTCCCCAGTTTCTCCCCGGTGTGACTGCATTTGTGCTTTGTGAGGTCTGAAGATTGGCTGAAGCCTTGACCACACACGGAACACGTGTATGGTTTCTCTCCACTGTGAACGGTACTCTTCCCTTCCATGTTCAAAATCTGATGACATTCCATTTGTGACAAATTGGACGCCTCCATCAGATCATGGTATGGTGTTTGCTCTGTAAATCCTCCCTCTCTAACACCCTGGGAAATCGATCGTCAAACAACAACAACAACAACAAGAAAAAAAACAAGAGAGTGAGAGCATGAACATGACACTCTGGCATCTACGTGAAGATGGAGAGGGAGAAGGAAAGGCAGGGGCTGGAGGACAGGCATTTTAGACACCAACAACCCGAGCAGACCTTTGGCAGAATTTTCCAACTGTATCGCTGAGAGGGAGCAGGGGATTGCGAGTCGATCTGAATACCATCACCTCCAAGTTCCCTCCAGGTCTCACACACACTTGTCCTGGCTTGCCAGACATCCAGATCCCGAAGGAGCAGAGATTTCCTCCCATTAAATAACGGCAACAATACCAACTCCGCTGCCTCGCCACAGACTCCCTGGCAACTGTCTGAGGCTGAACCAAACATGTTATGACTGCGGTGAGACACTTCATTCTGAAATGAACCACATATCCCCGTCATCACTCAGATTGTCCACTTCCACCTCAATGACATCGTCCAACTCGTATTCTCAGTCCATCTGCTGCTGAAACACTCACCTTTTGTCACTTTTCTTAAAATTCACTCACGGGATGAGAGCGTCACTGGCCAGGCCAGCATGTTTTGCCCATCCCTAATTGCCCAGAGGGCAGTTAAGAGTCAACCACATTGCTGTGGGTCTGGAGTCATAGGTAGGCGAGACCAGGTAAGGATGGCAGTTTCCTTCCCTAAAGGACATTAGTGATTCAGATGGGTTTTTCCAACAATCGACAATGGTTCATGGTCATCATTAAATTCCGGCCATTTGTTGAATTCAAATTCCACCATCTGCCATGGCAGGATTCAAACCCAGGTCCCCAGAACATTACCTGGGTCTCTGGATTAACAGTTCAGCCATAATATCACTACGCCAGTGCCTCCCCTTGAGATCTCTAGAGTTAACTGCCCTAACACAATCTCCACAGTTCTCACAATCCCTGTACATTCTTGTCTAACTTCCTCTGCCTCTATTTATGGATGTATTTGAGCTCTGTTTACTGTTCCATTGTTACTTCCATTGACTGTATCTACTTTTACCACTGTCCATTCCCCCAGCCATTTTTTGCTGCCTTGGTAGGTTTATATTCTCACATCAGCTCCCGTAATGCTGTAAGGGAAGGAGTTACAGGTTATTCAACCACCAAATTAATCCTGAGGTCATTCAAAATGCTGTTGCCTATATGCGTCACTGCACCAAGCCTGAGAATTATAGAATCCCTACCACATGGGCCCATGAGTCCACACCACCTCAACAAAGAATACCCCACTCAGAACCAACTCCCTCCCATTGCTGTAGCCACGCATTAACCATGACTAATCCACCTAGCCTGCACATCCCTGGACACTATGGGGCAATTTACTATGGCCAATCCACCTAATCTGCACATCGTTGGACCATGGGAGGAAACTGGTGCACCTGGAGGAAACCCACGCAGACACGGGGTAAAATGTGCAAATTCCACACAGACAGTCAAGGAACATAGAACATTACAGCGCAGTACAGGCCCTTCGGCCCTCGATGTTGCGCCGACCTGTGAAACCAATCTGAAGCCCATCTAACCTAAACTATTCCATTATCATCCATATGTTTATCCAATGACCATTTAAATGCCCTTAAAGTGGGCGAGTCTACTATTTTTGCAGGCAGGGCATTCCACGCCCTTACTACTCTCTGAGTAAAGAACCTACCTCTGACATCTGTCTTATATCTATCACCCCTCAATTTAAAGCTATGTCCCCTCGTGCTAGCCATCACCATCCGAGGAAAAAGGCTCCCACTGTCCACCCTATCTAATCCTCTGATCATCTTGTATGTCTCTATCAAGTCACCTCTTAACCTTCTTCTCTCTAACGAAAACAGCCTCAAAACCCTCAGCCTTTCCTCATAAGACCTTCCCTCCATACCAGGCAACATCCCAGTAAATCTCCTCTGCACCCTTTCCAATGCTTCCACATCCTTCCTATAATGCGGTGACCAGAACAGTACGCAATACTCCAAGTGCGGCCGCACCAGAGTTTTGTACAGCTGCAACATGACCTCATGGCTCCGAAACTCAATCCCTCTACCAATAAAACCTAACATACTGTAC